AAAAAAAAAAAAAAAAAAAAAAGTACAAAGAAGCGGGGGTGCCATTTTAATTTGCATTTCTTTATCAGGAGGCTGATAATTTGCCTGTTAATTTTTTCTTTTGTGAAGTGCTTGTAAATGCCCCTTTCAAAACATAGTAATTATGCTCTCAAGGCATTCTGTTACCACCAGTAATATAAGATAACCAATCTTTTTCATTTTTTTATTTTAGAGAGAGAGAGAGCACAAGTGGGAGAGAGGGGCAGAGAGAGAGAGAAAGAGAGAGAGAGGAGATAGAATCTTAAGCAGGCTCCACACACAGCGTGGAGCCCGACACGGGGCTTGATTCCATGACCCTGAGATCATGACCGAAGCTGAAATCAAGAGTCAGATGCTTAACTGACTGAGCTGCCCACGTGCCCCAGGATAAGCAATCTTGACAGAGGGAACCGCCCATCCATGGCAGCCCTCAAGCCCCAGATGCCCATGAAGCCAAAACTGCTGGCATTATTTGCCTTGTAATCCCACAAGGGTACACCTTGGCTTTCACAAATAGACTTCCTTTAAAAAAAACTTTTTTTAATGTGTTTAATTTTGAGAGAGACAGAGAGAGACAGAGTGCAAGTGAGGGAGGAACACAGAGAGAGAGAGACACAGACTCTGAAGCAGGCTCCAGCTCTGACCTGCCAGCAGAGCCTGAAGCGGGGCTTGAACCCACTAACCAAGAGATCATGACCTGAGCTGAAGTTGGACATTCAACCAACGGAGCCACCCAGGCACCCCACAGACTTCCTTTTAATTTGTGCCACTCTTCTCTAAAAGCTTTGAGCATGAGACCAAAAGGTATAGCTACTTATGAGTATTTCCTAGGGAACTTCACATACATGGAACTCTGCTTACCTGGGCCTATTTCCAAATCATCCAGAGAATAGCTGTTTTCAGAGATCCTCCTTCCACCTGCACTACGGCTTTGGGTCCGAAGAATCTGCTTGGAAAACAAAACCCAGCAAGAAGGTTTACACAGGAGATAGGAAATCTTGACGAATGTTCAGAAAAGAGGTCTGCAAATCTCTTTTATTAACAAAATCCACAAGGAATTAGATTTTACATTTGTTTTTACATTCCACAGAATGTGTTTTTAGCATTATAAATATGAAGCAGTACATATTCACAGGTGCCCAGGGAAAAATAAGTAACTGTATATAGGTAATTCTCTCTGGTAATCATCACTGCCTAATCAGCTTAACCAGAAAACTTAGTAATTTAAACAGCATGGAGGTGAATCCTCATGCCCCAGATGATACTGACATGTCTCCCAAACTGCTAAGTCCGGATCGATGGCTGTTACCTACCTGCTCTTTGTTTCCCCGCTCCCTCCCACTTTATCCTTGCTGTTGCTGCCTTGGTTCCCATTGTCATCTTTTCCTTGGACTACTGCATTACATTTCTAATCAGTTCCTCTATACCTTCCAATCAAGTCTGTATGATGCTGCCATTATCCCAAGTCATAGAAAGTAATTATCCCCCAATATAAATCTATATCACTCCCTTGTTCAAAATTCTTTAAAAATTCCTAATCACTCCTTACATTAAATCTAAAGTGCTTAGTATGTCACAGAAGACCCATTCTACATCTGGTCCCTACCTACCTACCTTCTCTGAGTATTCCCTTCCTCACTCTTTACCCTCCAGGAAAAGCAAACTGCTGTGAGGTCCATATTATATATGAGTTCCCTTCTCCCATTACCCTTTTGTCCCTCTGGTTGTCTGTTCCTTCAAGATTCGGGGGAGGCTGAGCAACCGTCTCTCTGTGAAGTACACCTTATCTCTCCTACCTAAATCTAAGTTGCCCTCCCTCTGTTTCTAAGGTCCCTGGCCACACTTCCATTACAACGCTTATCGTGTGTCCCTGGCAGAGACCACGTTTTTTGTTTTTTAAATGGAAAAGTGGGTGGTACAGATTTTTTTAATACGTTATTTTGTGATTCCTATAAATTACTACATTTATATCTCTCACATCTAGGGTAGATCTCTAATTAAAGTTACAAATTATAATTTTTAAGCCTGGAAAAGTAACTCAAGAGAAAGTCATTTAGTGTCACAGAATGTTCCCAGACATGGTACACAGAGGGTATGTCATGTTTTTTCAGCTTGTAATGAGAGCCTTCAACCAGATCCTATCATTCAAATCTCAACTTATTTCCAGATAACTTGAAGTAGGAAAGATATCTGAAATCTGGTATGACAGGAGATAAGAGTAAAACACTTAGCACTCTTCTGAATTCAACATTAGTAAATCGCTATTAAACCTTTACGTTCAATGGGCTAATCAAGTCAACAGTAAAGTTTGAGACTGTGAACTATCATTTTTTCGATCCTCCCCCACCTCCACTGAGACAGATAACATGCCGCTTCAGAAATCAGAGCCACAGGCTGGTTTGTTTGTACCACACCAATGACAATAGTTTCTTGTAAATTCAACATACACTTAATATCATTTATTTTCAGTTGGCTTTGCTATTAACATTATGAATTGATAAAAAAAAAAAATAAAATAATAGATAGCAACTCTAACCTTGCCACACCATACTCAGGTAAGCTGCACCAACATCAACCACACCCATGTGACTTACATGACGCAACAGATAATGAACATCATCAGCCAAACAAACAGATAAGTTTGGCAGGATACCCTCCCCATCCACGTTTTTTCATCTTCAAAACATTGTTCATTTGCAGATAATTAAAGTAAAGGAAATTCCAAAGACTTATTCTGAATGCTGCTTCACTGTAAGAGGAGTATTATAAAAGAATTTTCCGGGCTCAAAAAAGGGAGAGAGCCTGCAAATACACTTTTTTTTTTTTAACCGAAAGGGAACAGCTTCTGAATCCTTAATACTGAAGCAATATTTCCAATATTTACGTGCTGTCAAAGGTAAAGTTCAATTCTAAGAGTATGTGTTATCTGCCGCAACCTGCAGAGAGCTGTTTTCTGTCTGTACTCATGGTCAAGTCCCTCTCAGCCTCCTGCAGAGTCCCTGCACTGGCATAACTGGCAGCAAGCTCATTTAGAACCAGGACATATGCCTTGCCAGGGCAGAGGCTTACTTTGGTTTTAGGCGCATAATATTTTCCATCTTTGCTCGCTTTTAATTTAAACCTTCAGGTTAAATGAAGTCAAGAGCCTTTTTCTTTTTTAAAGCCTTCAGGTTCATGAGGGTATCAGTACTTGGAATTGTTTTCTTCCAAATACTAAAAAAGTGACTGTGCAAATGGGGCGCCTGGTTGGCTCAGTCGGTTAAGTGGCCGACTTCGGCTCAGGTCATGATCTCGCAGTCCGTGAGTTCAAGCCCCATGTCGGGCTCTGTGCTGACAGCTCAGAGCCTGGAGCCTGTTTCAGATTCTGTGTCTCCCTCTCTCTGACCCTCCCCCGTTCATGCTCTGTCTCTCTCTGTCTCAAAAATAAAATAAACGTTTAAAAAAATAAAATAAAATAAAATAAATAAATAAATAAATAAAAAAGTGACTGTGCAAAGCCACTTGGTCTTAAAGAAGAAATAGAGAGAACTGTCTCTGAAAATCAAAGTTATACTGATGCTGGTTCTGAGGAGGACCACAGCTCTGAGATGGGAAAGCTTTTAATGAGATTCCAGGCAAAGCACGAAGCATTTCTTTTGATACCATTTCACCTCCAAATCCTTCAAATATTAAGAATAACAAAAACTCGGGGCACCTGGCTGGCGCAGTCGGTTGAGCGGCCGACTTCGGCTCAGGTCATGATTTCGCGGTCCGTGAGTTCAAGCCCTGCGTCGGGCTTTGTGCTGACAGCTCAGAGCCTGGAGCCTGTTTCAGATTGTGTCTCCCTCTCTCTGACCCTCCCCCGTTCATGCTCTGTCTCTCTCTGTCTCAAAAATAAATAAACGTTAAAAAAAATTTTTTTTAAAGAATAACAAAAACTCAGAAGCATTTACGATGAATTTTATGATCCTCATTTTATAAGTGGTAATTTGAGGTACAGGAAGAAGGAGGAGTTTCCTCTAATATTTCTCAAGGAAGTAGAAACACACACACACACACACACACACACACACACACACACACCCAGGAATTCTGATACTGAAATACTTTTCTGTAACACACTTTTATCACATTTCAGCCCTGTTTACTCAGATGCCTGAGGGAGCCTTTTAAGAGAAGAGAGAAAAGACAAGACACTTTAAGACTTTCTGGAATTTCCTAAGGCTTGGCCTCCCCCCAACCCACAAGTCCTCCTTCCTGTCAGCTGACTATAGTAACTCTCATTAGTGGGAACGCCTCTTTAAATAGTCACTGAGAATCCTTGAACCAAATGTATCAACACGTACCCTTAGGAGAACAAGAGCTTAGGGCTTTTAGCTAGTGGTCTGCAGAATTTCTTTTCTCTGGAAAATTTTCTTAAAGAAATATAGTAAGTGAGGTCTCAAATATCAAGTAAAATGCAGGATTTCCTATCCCCATAATTTTTAGGAAAAATTCTGTTTAAAAGTTGATTCTCAACACTTTATAATTTACCTTCTACCTCTCTCAACCACTTTCTTCAACCTTTCAAGTCTGACCTTCCTTCAGACTGTCATCCCTGAAAGTCAAGGGTAGAGGAAGGATGGCCTTTAGGGAAAATAGGACTTTGCTGAACTATCCATAGCATGTAGACAAAACCTAGCCTTAATTTCTCAAAGTACTGAGAGACAAACATTGCCTTCTTCAGGTAGAAAAAAAACAGAAAAAATAAAGATCTTTTAAGTAGAACAATAATATATAGAAGGAGCAGTTGCATCCAGGTTGTGGGATTTCTCTATATTTTCTGTATTCTAAGCATTCTACAAAAACTATGTGTATATTCTTTACAATGTTTTTAATGTTTATTTTTGAGAGAGACAGAGTGTGAGCGGGGGAGGGGCCGAGAGAGAGAGAGAGAAAGAGAGAGAGGCAGAATCTGAAGCAAGTTCCAGGCTCTAAGTTGTCAGCACAGAGCCCAACATGGGGTTCGAACTCATGAACCACGAAATCATGACCTAAGCCCAAGTTGGATGCTTAACCAACTGAGTCACCCAGGCGCCCCAACTATGTGTATATTCTTACAATTAGGGGGAAAAAGAAAAGGAAGGAGAAGTAATTTATTAATATAAATAGATAAAAATGATAAAATCAAATGCTGACAAGGTGCTAGAGAATTAAATATGTTCTTAGGCTATGCTAATAGTATTATAAAGTAGTACAATCTTTGAGAACAGCTGAGAATATGTAAGAAGAATGTTTAATGAATTATATACTTTTGGTCATGAGAATACCACTTTAGTAATATAGCTCTCCCCCTAAAATAACTAAAAACAAAATGTTTCTGCCACGATGCTTAGAGTTTTTTATTAGGCTCGAAAAATATCTAATTACTGGGGCATAATTAAACCATAATGAAATACTATATTGCTATAAACGGAGAACCACATGAACTAGGAAGATACATAGAAAAGTCAATATAAAAAAGACCAAACAAAAGATAAAGCACACAAAACAGCACACAGGGACTAAAACCATGTAAAAACTAGTCATGCAGTGATAGCATATCATTGTGCACAGTTGTTTTATTATTTTTTCCTGATAAAAGTTACTGGTTTTTCCTGGTTTACTTGGCTTTTTCTTCTTCTGTTTACTGTGTGTGTGTGTGTGTGTGTGTGTGTGTGTGAGAGAGAGAGAGAGGGAGAGAGAGGGAGAGAGAGAGAGAGAGAGAGAGAGAGAGAGAGAGAGAGACAGAGAGCAGAGAGAGAGAGACAGAGAGAAACAGAATCCCAAGAAGGTTCCACACTGTCAGTACAGAGCCAGATGTAGGGCTTGAACTGACAAACCCATGAGATCATGACCTGAGCCAAAATCAAGAGTCTGATGCTCAAACCACTGAGCCACCCAAGCACCCTGAAATCTCTTACATTCCAGCATGTTTCTTGTCTTCATTGC